GCGCTCCAGAAACTTTGTAATCGCGATGAGACGACTGCCTGTGTGCGTATTGCACCTGGTTTCGAACGAATCTTTGCGAGCATCCGTTCGGGCTTTGACAGGAGCTGCACTGAGTTTCGCTCACGGAACATGTCAGCCCATGCTCGAGCAGTTCAGCTTATTTGCATGACCGGCATCTGTGGCTTAGACAGGCAGGGGCAGCGAATCCCAACCCCTTGTCGGGGAGCTGGGGACTCTCAGAGCTTTTGCTTGGTAAGTATAGGACATCTTCTTGCGCTGCCAAACTGCCTGATCTGGGCCGGAGGAGGTCGAATGCAAGAGCCTTTGCAGCCCCAACCCAGGGTTGTTCATCCATCAGCTGACTTGTCGTACTTGCGAGCTGGTCCAAAACCGGGCCTGCTGATGCATAACAGACTTCCGCTCGGGCGTCTGCGGTACCCATGAAAGTCTCAGGGTCCGTAACGCTTTCTTCCAGCTGTTCCTCGACCTTGAGTTCTACCTCTTCTTACCTTTGATTCTGCTGTTCCGAATTCTGACCGTCTCGAAGTCAACTTGCTAGTTGCTGTTTTGGGTTCGGAAACTTCCTGCTTTCCTGTCTTTGTTTTGGCATTACCTTGAAACTCTGTTCCTTGTTCCTTCATCTTTGGTCCAAAGGCATCAAGGAAATCGTGAGTGTCTCTTTTAATTCGAAGAGGTCTAGATCTTGAGGTTGAGAAGCAGCAGCACGGGGCAGTTGCAGAGCCTGCTTTGGGCAGAGCAAGAGCATGTTGTGAACAACTAAGCACCGCAGTCTCTAAGCACGGTATTGATGAACAAGTATAGTCTAGTTAATTATTGTCTGTAGTGCCACAGTCGATGGCTGTTGGCCATCAGGATCAGATCCTGGCTGAGACCCCATATCTAAGCCCCAGTAGCCCCTTCCAATCCTTATCATTAGTAGCATCCATTTCATGTTCCATTTCTTGTCTGTTTGATTCTCCTCCATTTTTTGGGGGTCATATCCAAAGGCCTAAGTCCCAGCAAGCACTCTGCAGGTGTCCTTTGCGTGCAGGTGTGGACAATCCGTGCTCGGCAACCTAGGTGCCCGGCTCTCTTTCCAGTATGGCTTGATGAAGATACCTCAAATAAGGCCTGACCATACTGTCAATGTTTGGGGATGATATTAATTGTATAGGATTAGGGTTGGGGCTTAAGGATCTTACCCAGGTTGTGAGTTTGCACTGGAGTTCTGTTGGGGCTGCACCGGGACAATGGAGTTGACGGCAAATTCAAAACATCACGACCGCACCCGTAACTCTCAAGTATAGTTTTTTTGGTGTCTTTGGGTTTACTGAGATGCCCGTGAAGTTGATCACGCTCAGCCCTATGTTTGGAAGCTCCCAGTCAGGATCTATGTGCAGCACGTATGGAAAATTGTAAGGCAGCATGATGGGATGTAATCAGGCAAATTCAAACAACTGCTGCTGCTGCTGCTGCTGCTGCTGCTGGTTGTGCCGGTGCTGGTGGTGGGGTCGTCGTGGCGGCGGCGGTGGCGGCGGATGATAAACGCAGCCAGCTGGTGCTACCCTGACCGTTTCCGAACGCTCATTTTTAGCAACAGAAAAGGAGGCCCTTTGTTATTCTCCATGAGAATGAAAGGTAGCACAAACAGTTGGGATTCTGAATAGTGTATACAACAAGCTTGTCATTTAGAACTAGAGAAGAGGTATACTTATCATTCGATGACGCTCTTCCTTACTGTGTTACAGCAGTTTTGTTTGGTTCGTCTTGGCGGCCTGGTTAGCCTTCCCATGTGGGTAGTTTCAACATGACGTCCCAGTTCTGCACCCCAAAGTTCTGTATCATAGTTTTGGGGGAGAGAGCAAGTTTGCTAAATTGTTGCTCAAAGGTCCAAGCCCTGAACCCTGTATATCCCTTTATGCCCCTTCAATAATCCTTATAAACCCTAAGACCATAATATGGGCAAGGATTGAGGCTGCAATAAAGGCAGTAGGAAGGTTTTGTTCATAGCATGTGAGGGCCGTGCACCTGGCAGAAAGGTTCTACTTGACTGTAGCACAGCCTCTCCTGGGTGAGACAGACATACAGTCTCTGCAGAGCTTGTGCACCGCAGCGCCTGACATAGAGATTGCTGTTGAATTCTGTTTAGGGATGGATTTGGATTAGTTTAGTCCTGCAGCAGCCACGCTTGGTCAGCCATGTACTCAAACCACTTTTAGCGCCGAGGGTCGATCATGAAACATTGCTTCCAGTATAACCAGTCACCCGATTGCACTCATTGTAGGCGGGTTGGAAACCATGTATGCGCGGCCGAAAGCACCCCTTTGGAGTTCTTGGGTTCAAGATTGCACACACAGCAGTTTCTAGGGCCTTCTCAATTACGGCGCAAGGCTAAGGAATGCAGCAAAGTTTGCCCGAAGTTCTACGGCGTCAGGGCAACGAGCTCGAAATTTGTGTTTCAAGCCAACCTTGAGTTGGGCACCAGTACCACGCCAACCATGAGAGAGAAAAGGGCCGCTTAAAGGAGCCCTTGCATCTCAGTAGGGTTTCCTTTCGTGGCATCCCAGTAATGAAGATTACAATCTGTAGAGGCAAGCCAGGGGACCTCCATATTTTGGAAACATTCATATCAGAGTGCTCTAGCTGGGTTTCTCTATCAGTGGCCCAGTTGAAGCGGCTCTTTGCCCTAAGAGTGGGTCGCTTACTGCCACCTCTAGACTCTAGACTCCCTATTCCTGGGCTAAGGGTCTGAGATCAGCAACCAGAATTTGCGGCGCTGCCTTTGGCCATAAAGTTTTGGAACTTAGGTTTGCGCCACCTCGCTGGCCATCTACTTCTTGTATCAGTGGATAGTCGGCACTTCGCAGCAAGCCTCGCAGTTTGGGCTTCAGACCCGTTGTTATTCAGCTTGGGTGATTCTGAGCTGAAGACATTTGTTCTCATCCCGTTAGCATCTCTCCTTTGGTGTCAGGATGTCTGCCCATTATTGTAAGCAACCCTTTGCCCGAACAAAGCGGCGGCTAATCTATGATTGGACGGAGGTCGAGCCGGGATTCGGGTAACAAGTGCTTTGAGGGTTCGCAGGACACCGTCAGGCATGGTTTTCTTGTTAGGGAGAGTGCAAGACAGAGAGAGCGAGAGAGTTACGTGGATCTGGTTCCTCATTTTGCTGCATCGAGTAGTGCCAGCCAAGAACCTGTTTTAGTTCCATCGGTTGATGAGCTAGCCGCAGCTAGAGCTTCGATAAGAAGGCAAGGCCACCACAAACTTTTTGTTTACAGGTACAATGATGGTAATGCTATCAGTAACTCTGGAATCACCTCCTGCAGTTTGGCTGCTCAGCCAGGGACATGTGTGACATGAGGAAATGAAGTGGGTTTCTAGACCAGGGCCTAAAGAAGCTTCAAGGCCCATTCCTGCAACAACCCCAAGAAGCTCCAGGCCCTGATCCTTGCGGGCCTTCGACCCCGCTCCTGCCCCACTGCCGAAGATGCATCAGAGATTTACTGAACACAAACACATACACACAATGAATCCGGAACTCGGATTTCTTCAGCGTGTCAAAATAGCAGGCACTGATTTGCAAAGCAGCTCGCACGACATGCAGGCCAAGATTTTTGGTTTAGGTTGGCACGCAGGCGTGCTAGCCTTGCGCCATGGGCGCGCGGCAAAGCTGTACCAAGGCCCCGTAATTGGGGATTGGGGCAATGTAAGCATGCGAGCAGTTTCATCAGATGATAGATAGTACAATCCCTACCCACTCGAAGCAAGGATAGCAGCACCTAATTTCTTCTTTCGGTGGATGGATGGGCAGCAAAGGCCTACTTGTGGGCTTGGAGTAGTTGAGCGGGGGATGAAGTTGTTGTCCTGAAGAGCATGTAGTGTAGGGGCCAAAATGATTAGAAGGGTTTGGGGTATACATGCGCTGTGTAAAAATACAAGGGGTATATGGGGCATGCCTTTGGCAAATATTCAGTTTTTACACCCTAAACCCTAAAGAATCCAGATATAACCTTATATGAGCTTAAATATATCCTCAGAGTGCCCTGAATCTACACGCCTATGAACTCAATGCTGAAAGCTTATCACAACAGCCTCGCCTTCCTTCTCCTCTTCCTCCAGTAGGTAGAATATGTCCCCCTTGAGGGGCTGCGTAGGGGTTATTTAGTAGACATGGAAAAGAAAATGGAAACTACTATTCGGGCAAAGTAGAGAAATCAAAGCGTTGAATTCCAAAGTTCATGCATGGATCTGCTTCCGGTGCCTCCCAACCATCCAGCAAGCAAGAGTGGGTTCCCACCCAACTCTTCTCTGAGCTCAATGGTTCTGCGTAGGCCTGCAGCAACTGTGCCGCCGACTGCACCCGGCCTGGTCAAGGTTCCATCCTGGCTTGGGCTTCAAGGTTTGAGGGTTTCTCGAAAGGGGGGCAATGTCGATGTAGCCCAGGGATGTATAGGGACTGCAAGGGTTTTCGTGGGTGTTCGGAACAAGGATTACATAGGGGTCATTTTGTCGCATGATGGTACTCAGAACCTAGTGAAGCCGTTTGGTGTTTAAGGCTTAGGTCGGATACGATATATGAGGTGTTTGTACCTGAGTTGGGGGGCGGCATAAACATCAAGCACCATTAAAGAATGCGAGAATTGTGGGAGTCGCTAGCAGAGGCACGCATTTCCGTAGCAGTCCGTATTGCTCCGGCCCTAAATCGCCAGCTTAAAATCAACTCTGCATCTGTCTTGAGAGTTGTCCTGGATGAGTAAGCTTGACATCACGACATATGCTTTGCCCTTGTTTCGGGCCGTTTTTTGTGATGTTGCACCTCTGGAGACGCCTGCTTCGAGATGCAATAGCTGTCTGAACCTGGTAGCTATGCTATTCGTGACATGACTCAGATCATCCGGATTGTTTGTCCTTTGGCCAAGAGCTATGACCAATATAGGAGGCGTGTGGCTTTGGGTAGAGGGTTTCTTTTTCATTCAGACCAGGGGACCCACGCTGCCATGGACTTTGCGCTCCGAGTCGCTGAGTCAACTGCTTTCGCCCTGCACAGCGCGCTCGGAATCACAGAGCCATGCCATGGAACCGTGGAGTCCACCTTGGGGGGCGCGGGGTCGCTGCCGAGGTGGTTCTGGCCTACTGCAGGTCTCTGCTTGGGACTGGTCTCCTATGCAAATTTTTCGGGCTCGTCCCAAGCTGTGCTCTGTGCGCAAGCATACATAGTTGCCTTTCATAGCGGCGCAATGTTTTGGCACTGGCGTCTTCAACACCACCCTGTTGCAGCCCTTGCCCCAGGCGTCTTTGTGGTTCTTGCGGCCATTGTGGCTGGGCTGCGCGTCAGCATTTTCGTTGCGTTGTTGGGAACTGCGATTTGCGCTGCCTTTGGAGTCATCCTGGGCCTGGTGCTTGTGACACCACCGCAGAGACACACAGCACTGCTCGGCTAAACTTGAAGGTTCTTGCTTCAGAGTTGTATTGCCGTGAGACGTGTGGCAAAGTGCAGAGCCGCAGCCTCGCAAAAGGGCATGGAGCGACCCATCACTTCTTTCCAAGTTTCTATGGCTCATGAGCGTTATCGTCTCTGCTTGTGATCGCATCATCCGGTGGGCTGTCACCAGTAGAATATTCTTGTTGGACATCCAGGTAGCCATCCGTTAGCGGGGGTAAGGATGTGGTTTGCATCAGTCTTGCGAGCAGGCTATGGCGACGATTTCGACGACGATCGACCTGGAGGGGATCCAGCAGGAGTTGAGTTGTAACCTTACTGGGGGTAAGTAGTGATTGAGGGGGGCATAAAATCTGATGGGACGATATAGGGAGCATATTCCCTGTTCCCTACTAACCCCCAGTAAGTAGCTGACCTTGAGATTTCCAGGCTTTTGCGCGGTTCTGGGCTGTCGATGGCATAGCCCACGCCCCCCGGGTCGTCATCCGTCCTCTAGATTCCTTTAGGATGGAATTCTGAAGTTTGAAAAGATCCACTCTAAGATCCTCACGGAAAGAGCCTAAGATCTCTGGACCTGAGGCCTGGTGAAGCTCTCAGCCGGTACATGGGCTAAGGACCTCAAAATAGTCATAGGCTCCCAAATACGGACCTCTGAGCCCTTTCGCTCCCGAGCCTGAACGAAAAATTCTGTTTAGATGTTCCAACCACTGGCACTTGTACGGCTCACCGTAGTACAATCCGGATTGTTCACGTCCTCATTTGTTCACGTCCTCATTCTGACAAGAACTTGGTCCATTGCTAAGCCGAGCTTACTCTCTCTGAACCCATGAAACCCTGAAGGCCTACCATGCCATGAAATGAAATCTCGAAACCCTGGAGCCAAGTAATGAAACTGTAGAACAAGGCATATTCATTAAGAGTAAGTAAGAATGACGATCATGAAAAACAACCCTAAACAAACCTCTTCCACACCACGACACATCTGTTCGAGGAGCCACCTTTGAGGAAACACTGGAGGATCGGGCTGCATGGAATTCCTTGAAATTCTGCGACCGGTTATGCATCGTAGATCGTAGGTTCTTTGTGGGAGCTTCTTGGGTGCAAAGGATTGGACAGGGCTTCCTAAGGTTTCTAGCACGGGACTTTTTGGGTCTGTGTGGGGATTGCGGGGATGCCATAAGACAGGAAGTGTCTGACAATAGTAATAATACCAAGACAGGTAATTAAGTAATAGTCAGAATAATACCAATAGCAATAATTATAGCAATGATGACAGTATTCATTATTCATTTGAATACTACTAATGACAGCAATAACCATAGTCATAACAGTAATAATAATAGTAATGACAGTAATAAAAATGAGAATAATAGCCTCAACAGGAGTAGTAAGAATAGGAATAACAATAGTAATAGTCATAGTAGTAGTAATAGTACTAGTACTAGTAATTAATAGTAATAGAACTAAGAACATGCGAAAAGGACCTAAACAGCCTGGATCGGCACCTGATGCTCTTCTGTGCCTCCTCAAACCTCGCAGCCGTGCGATGGCTCATACAGCTAGGCCTGGGGGGGGGTCAGGGTTGGAAGGGGAATATTCTTGCTGCATGTTGTTTGGTTAGAATACACGCATGTAGCGCCTTGTTTTTCGAGGAGTTGCTCTTTCTCGCTTGTCTCAGTTGCTCTAGAATTGGCGTTCAACGCCCTGACCTGTCAGAGTGTGGATGTGGAGGTTTGTTCCAAAACAATGGCCTAAATCTTGTTGAGGTTGGTTTTTTCTTCATCGTGCAAGAGATCCGATGTCTGGATCCCACTAGGTTTGCAAGAGGGGGCCTATCGCTCAGGGAAATTGTGGATGGAGCAGCTCATGCTACTGTACCGTTCTAACAGCTGATAGGAACCGCCCAACAGTGCCTCATGAAGGCACTGTCCATGGGGTTTGTGTTAGTTGGGCGCCCCATATACCCCACCTACCCTACGACTCGTACTGCCTGTTCCCCTCGTCCTGCTGCTGCCACTGTTGCTATTGCTGCTATTATCACTAGGCCCGTACTACTACCATCGCTAGTGCTTCTGGACATCGCGGAGGGCTGAGAAAGGTCGAAGAGATGCTGGTTTCAGTGTTTAGGTTTTGGAAGTGTATGACCTCCAACAGTCTGGCACTCGGAATCTAGGGACGCATCCATATTCTGGAACTTTTTCATGAGCGGTCCCTACAAGGCCTCTGTGGTATGGGTTGGAGTTTCTGGCCCCTGTCGTGATCACGATGAGGAGACATTGAAGCCGAAAGCTGAATCCTGCAAAGGCGCTCGATGGGATGCATGCGATGCAAACAGCTCCTTGATGTCAAGAAAGGTTGAACATTTGGGATGCAATGTTCGTGTGTTTCAGAATTGTTGTCGGAGTGTCTGATTAAGGGGATTCTGGTATCTGGTGGTTTGCGGAGAGCGCTGATCGGAGAAAGACGGCTGTGTACATGTGTTCACAGAAATTTCCCTGCATTCCTGCTAATATGCATCAACCACGGATTTCCAAAAAGAAATCAAGAATCTTGCTACTACACTACACAAGATCTGTCCCAAGGACGGCATCTAGATGGGTCTTTTTGGGCGTGTCTTCAAGGTTTCCAAGGATCCAAAGTTTTATGTTTCAAAGCAAGGGGTTCAGATGATTAGACAGGTCAGGCATCACCGCGAATGAACATGGACTTTTGACTTCTTCCGTAACCTTGAGTAGATACTTTCCAGTGTAGCTGATGATTCTCCTTGCATGCCGAATCTGCTGTTCAGGCTTGTATTTAGTGACCTCTTTGTCATCATAGTGATCGATACTGAGTGCAATAGAAGTTCCAAAATGCTGGACTTTCATTTGAAGTGCAGGATCCCAAAGACCAAGCGAGACATTGCGTGCAAAGTGCAGATGTAGGTTCGGATTGCGAGTGCCTTCAGACTAGAACGCGTCCCGCAGCAACGCTTAGGCCACAGAAAACCCAGGGTTTTCATTCTATAGTCGACGTGTGACTTCTTAAGTATGTGCTCTCCCAAATCCACGCTCAACGCTGCTATTCTGTCCTTGTCCCAAAGCCTGAACTCGCCGTTAGTTGTTGGGGCTCAAGTGGACGTTTTTGTCAGTGTAACGGTCAATTCTGACCAGAGTGGAAGTTTGGTAGGAGTCGGCAAGGGGCCTGCCGTGGTACCAGCACAAGCTATTACGATCAGTGCCGGCAGCAGGCATTCTAATCAGATAGTATGAGGATTTATGAAAACCAGAACTCCAAGTCACTGCTGCCTGCATCGCACCTTGGGGCAGCTTCCGGTGCCTTGTTTAATGCATATGGATTTCTCAAACCAAACACTATTACATACTCCTGAATTGTCATGCCCCAAATATCTTCAAACCCAGCATGCCTCCTCCGGATCTTTTGGGGACCAGCGTTATATGATCACCAGATGGGTTGGGGGACAATTTCTTTAATTCGCACTAGATTCCGTGCCTCTCCCACTTGAGTGTCTCCTTAGGTCGCTATGTTGATTCCTCCGTGCTTTCTTGCCCATGCAAAATCGTAGGAAAGGTAACAGGAAACAACCAAAGCAATTCATCGCAGCAAGGGTCGTAACAGGACTTTCTATGGGCACGCCCTTCTATAATGCTCGATGCCCGTTAACAACTTAATATTGAGATTCGCTGGTTGGGGATTCTTGCAAATGTCACCATACAAGAGGCACCCTTATAGCCGACTTACTGGGATGTCCAAAAAGACAAGTTTCGGGAAGCTTCTTGCAGGGGTTCTGAAGATTATGGGTCCAGATCATTTGGGATTTGCAAATGAGAAGCCCCAATGTTGAGAAACTCTGAATTGCTGGAGGCAGGCTTTAGCTCGTCCTTGGTGTGGTATGCAGCTGAGCCAGACTTCTGCCTTCAAACCGTCGGATTCGACGCGCAGGTTTCGGTTGGGACTCGCAAGACCGCATTAAAAACAGTTGCGAGATGTCGCTCTCCGCATTCAGATGCTGCAGGTGAAGCTGAAATTGCTCCAGACCGGAAACTGGTAAGCGGCATGGCCGTGGGCTGCAAGGGTTGTGCAGTGGGCCGTGCAGCATAGTAGCCGACATGCCACATTCAGTTTTCTTTGGAACACTACATTTCGCAGCGCGTTTTTCAGGAGCTTGCGTATGTGATTCTTAGCTAGCTAGCCGTCATGGATTGCAGTTGCGAGGCGCCATGTGGGTGCATTGGCATGTGTCGTTAGGTTCTAGACTCCGTGTGTGTTGTTGGGTAAACTTGATGAAAAGTGAACCGCAAGGCTCGCGTGAGAGAACACTTGCGCATTGCCCTCACTCCGAACCAGATTTCGCTTCTTCCGCAAACCAATGAAATCTTTTCAGTTCAATTTTGAATAACAGGTGCCGCAGTGAGTGAGCTGTTGTCGTCATGGAAGCTTCACAATGTTTGTGCTTTTAACATCCCCAAACGCTATTTATTGCCTATGCCATATGCCCATTGAAAACGCAAGAGCCGCGAAAACTGAGTTGACAATTTTCGGAATGTGCTAGCACCAGGCAGGATGTGTTGAATTTGGCCAAGCACGTAATTATGAGCTTACCATAGGATGTTTTTCCCCGAATGCGCAGCAGAAGGGTTCTTGTTTTGAGGTTGGGGGTCTGGGGGTTGGGAATTGACGCGAAATCCGTGCGGAGCGTTCGCAAGCTTTCGCAAGCGTCCGCAAGCGTCCGCCGTCTGTTCACGGTGTCGTCGCTTTTGGACTCGCGTTGCGTTTTGTTTTCGCGTCTCAAAAGTGTAAACAGTCACAGCGATCTGGGGGGTCGTGGTCGCGAAACGCAGAATTGTCGTCGCTTTTGGACTCGCTTTGGGTCTTCGCGTCTCACAAGTGTAAACAGTCTCGGGGATCGGGGGGTCGTGGTCGCGCAACGCAGAGCTGTCGTCATTTTTGGATTCGCGTTGCGTTTTCGCGTCTCAAAAAGTGTCAACAGTCACAGCGATC